TCGCGTACATGCGAGGGCCAATCTCAACATGCGCGACCCGGCGCGAGACACCCCACGTATTTTTGGTTTGATTTGGTGGAATGGCAACGATCTTGTTGGTCGCAATGGTATTACACCATATGATCATTCATGGCGGTATGAAGCCGCACATCCCGATCGCCTCGGTACACAGGCACGAATTCTTGGCAACGTTAAATTGTTGGCCGAATGCAAGGAGGTGTCGGACGAACTTTGCTGTATTTGTGGAATTTCATCATATTTATATGAATTACCATCTTTTGTCGACGACTTTTGGAAGGAGATTAACGAAGTCATTGAAGGCCTCGGCGTCCACAGATTCCAGCCAGACAATCTCATCTTCCAATCGGATCGTGTGGACAACTGGCATCTCCGAAAGACCCAGGAGAACATCGACCGTTTCGTTAGCTACGTAACCTCAATTGTCAAGTTGTCCTACCATGCGAACGTCGTCGAAGCTTCCCGAGAGGGAATCGCCGCGTTGAATCGGGTGAGAAGATTTCGTCACAACTGGGACACCGACGAGACCGTCAAGGTTCCTGAGTCTTGTGTGCAGCTTCTCAATGAATTTTCCGAGCAACGAATGAAGCGTTTTCAACACACTTTGGGTCAGAGCAGACAATTTACAGTCGAAGAAATCCAAACGTTCAGTCCTTTTGAGTCGAACGATGTGTCGATCGAGGAACTGAAAGCCTCCGTTAAACTGGAAGGCGAGGACCCACAAGATGTGTTGCAACTCATCAACATTGTCCCCACCGTGGAGCTTCCGGAGGAGCAGACTGCATTGGACGAAACTACAGGTGAGGAAACTACAGCCGGCGTAAATGCCGAGCCGAAAGTTGAAACCGACAGTGCAGACGTCGACATGCCGGACAGCTACACTGGAGGAAATGATGATGTGCCTGGGCCCGACTCCAACATAGCAGGCATAAATGCCTTGCCAGCGGCGCCCGAGCAAGATCAACAGATGGCGAAGATCGAGGCCGATGTTCTTGAAGTTTCGGCGGATGAGCCAATGGTCCCCGAGGCAAGTGATGAACCCGTTGCAGGTACGTCGTCTTCTTCCGCGTCCAGACCACCTCTGCCACGTTTACGAGGCAAAGGGCAGGGGCAGGGTACTCCTGCAACTGCTCCCGTAACGGGGAGCTTCTTGGAGCCTGACGACGATATCGATCTTGACTTGAAGTATTCTGGAAAAGGGAAGGGTGTACTCGTTCGCGAGATCAAACCCAACCCCGAGTACAAGAATATGAAAGTCGAAATCGAAGAAGTCCTGAACAAGTATCCTTACCCGGATCACCTGTTGAAGGCCATCGGCAACGGCGGAATCCAGCTTCTTGAAGAAGAGTTGGGCCGAAACGCCAAACAATATAACTTGCATCACATCACCGGCCATCGATACTACTACGAGTATGAGGACAACCATGGCTACCCATGGGAATGGTGTTGTTCCTGGCCGTACCACGTACGCCGTGGTATTTCAGGTTTGTTGCGAGGACATGTTCCAGACATTGGAATTTACGACCCGGCGTGCTACTTACCGGTTTACAAATTGTTACAATTGGCTCAAGCGAAATTCCCAGACTATGCTAATTCAATCAATATATTTGAACTTATTTCTATGGCTGTGTATGACGACAAGGACAGAATTGAGTTCCTTTGTGTTTACGATTCTCGCGTGAATGAAGCCCTTGAACTTTGGGCAGCGCCTGTGAAGGTGAGGTGAGGCCAAGGACATACAGACGACGTCATCGAGACGAGGTCCAACGAAGTTTTGGCGAAGACGATCTACTGCCGTCCCGACCACTGCATCGGTATAACCGTCGCCTCACCGCACACGGCAATAGAGACATCCCACCCCGGCTCTATCACCGGACGCATGAAGATGCCGCACGAGGTATAATTGCAAATGGCCTCCTCCCGGAGGAGGTGCCGGCGGGCCGAAAAGCAAAGGAAATTCGTATTTCTCCATACTACCTCTGGGAGACCAGAAGGCGATGTCTGGCGTGCGCGCGAATCGACCCGTTGAGCTTTGCTTCTCTACAGCCGAAATCATTGAAGCAGGCGTTGACCTATTTTTGACAAATTCGAATGCAATGATTACAAGTCATCATGTTCCCAACACGTGCATCCTCTTCGCCACGCGTGCCCGCGTAAATGCGGAGTCAGAAGTGTTCTACTCCAGGCCACAGGCTATTGATCCGGCGAGCATGGACGTTGGGGCACCGCAGGATGACGTTACATTGATTCCAGGCGATATTGCCGAAGTGAAACAACAACAGGATGCAAGTGAAGCCACACCTGAAGAGCGAACAGCCGCGAGCAGTGCAGCCAAGAAGGAGTCTATGGAGGCAAACCAAGAGACGGCTGTACCGCAGATCGAGAGTGGATATTTTCTCCACCTTCGAACATTTAGCTGTGACAAATGCACCACGCTTTCCTTAGCCGGAATGGCGTCGTGTCACAGGTGTGGGGCAGTGTTCCAAGGCAACGTTACAGATGGTCCTGTTTCCAAATTCATGAGATTGCAAATGAGACGTGCAAAGACCGTGCAACAGCAGGGGGGTGTTCCTACAAACATCACGGCCACGAGCATGCTTGACAGTGTCGCCGCACAGGATATGCAGCCTGGCCGTCCTCCCGCACGGGGCAGTCCCTCAGTTGACAGTCAGATTATTCTCGCCGCTCGAGGCCGTCTTCAAAGAGCATTGAAAGAAGGGTATGAGAATGTCTACGATCGATTCAATCGCGACGATGTCTTCGCTACCTCCTTAGCCGGAGAGGGTTGCACTGCATTCGATGCGGCGCAGGAAGACTTGTATGCGTCACTGCAACTACCAGCACCCTCACGATCCGCAAAGCAGAGATCCAAAGGGAAGTCAGTTGTCAGTGATTTGGATCGTCAAGACAGAGTTGATCTCGCCAAGCTCGCGTACATTCGATGCGGCGTCGACAACTTACATACCTGTTTCAAGCAAGGCCTTGACGAGAACTTTCTGATCAGCTACCGTCGTGAATTTCTATCTCTTCGACAATTCGCTGCCGTAATTGGCAACAGCCGAGACGAGATTAAAATTCAGGGTTTCATCCCGACCGAGGACGTATATGGCGACATTCATTTAATCCGCATTCCTCGTGGAGACACGATGGGCATTTACAAGATTTTGAGCGAGTTCGCGGAACAGAATGAGGACCACGCCAATACACAGTATCAACGAAATGCTATACAGTCCGCAAATATGCAAGCGCGCGACAGAGGGCAATCTATTCAAAATTTAGGTTTTATGAATTTGGAGCAACGCATGGCAACGCCATTGCCGAAATTCGCGGATTGCGGGCAGGACATGACCTCTTACGAGGTTCATCGACTGGAGCAACTTTTATTGGAATTTGGGCAGCGAGGCCACCGTTGACTCGGAAGCGATCCCAATCGTATATCGAGGGCGTTGCCGACGGAGACAAGCGACCAAGATTGCAGTGGAGGAAGAAGGAGGAACGCGGCCAGTCTGGCCGCATCGCTTCATGGGTTGATGAGAGAGTTCCTCCACCAGGCGTGCCTCGTCCACCTGCTCCCGTAACTGGGATGCATACATCGTCGGTGTATAGGCTGACTCATCCTCATGGTCGAGAAGAAGCATCAACAAAGGAAGACTTCCCTAAACGGAATGTCAGTGCAGAGCAGAGCATTGCCGGCAAAGGCAAAGGCCAAGGCAGTTCTTCCACCAAGGGAACAAATGCTCCCGTAAAAGGGACGCCACGTGGTTCAGTCGGCCGTGCAATGTCAAGTCGTCCTGAGGATATCATGCCCAGGCGAGGCAACATACCAAAGGACCTATTAGGTCCGCCGCTGCATACCCCACCGGCAATTCCAGCAGCAAAGCCAAACATTCCAAAACCACCAAGTCATCCACCACCTGTACCAGTGAAGGCAGCCCCTTCACAGCCACCAGCGAAACCTTCACCACCGAAGGTTCCACCACCCAAAGTGCCTCCTCCGAAAGTTCCGCCGCCAGATATTTCGAGCAATGTCAGCGGCGTTCCGGCTAATACTCGGCCGCCAGATTTCAATCTGACACCGAAGCCACCGCCACTTGCAGATCTATACAACCGGTTGCAACCTTCCGTAAAAGGAAAGGGCAAAAGCAAGCAGCAGGTGAGCCAGCGAGGAGGACCTTAGTATTCACAGCAATGGAATTTACAGAATGTGCCACCACCGCCGTTGCCTTCACGAGTTCCGTCGACAGCGGCATCATCCTCCAATGCTCCCGTAGCTGGGCAGCCAACAGTGTATGGAACGGATGACCGACCATTGGAGCCCTTTGACTTTCCTGGGATACAATGGCAACGTACAGGCCCATGGGCTGAAAATTATTGGCCCAATCACATGGAACTCCGACAGTGGATGCAACAGGGATGGCACGACGAAACAGAGCGTTTTGGATACAGGCATTATTGAAACAACGTTGAACTGCTACCGTAAATGGTATGACAACAGCCTATGAGTGTTGAGATGAAGATCATCTTCTGACGCGCTGTGAGATGATGTTTCACTTCATTGTCTCACTTCCCAATGCATCCTTAGCCGGATTGCTGTAGTCGGAGAGTGAACTTTTAATCAATACTCTACTTAGAACTGGGTCAAGCATGTTTAACCACATGCCGAGTGAGCCGCAAGGTCGTACACTAGGGTAGGTACGTTCTCCATGTACAGTGCATGCACGAGCTTGATGAGGGATTTCTAATATGATTCCTTCGTCGCTAGAATTCAATCCTCCCCAAGATTTTCCCTACGGGTAGCTCCTTGTAAAGGGGGGTGTTGACATTCCTCTCACCCCTATGGACCCCGTAGCGTGGACTCTCAAGGTAGAGTACAAAAGGTACGCTTACCGGACTATCAGGGTTAGCTAGGTAGTTAGAACTATTAGAGCTGATCCTGTAAAATACAGAGAGCTTCACTTCGTGCTGGACGCATCCACCTTGAGGTCAGCGCCCACCGGTCGCCGCCTCAGCCGGATGCGGCGATGACGGCGATGCGGCCGGGGCCTCGTGGACTCAGCGCAGCCCAGGTGGCTCCCCGTCTGGTGCGACAGGCAGAGAAGCCTCCTCAGGGCACACAAGCCTCCTCCGGGCTGCGTGAGAGAGTCAGTTTTGGGTCGTACTAGGTCTAGGTTGTCTTGTGACAGCTGAACTCTGAACATCAGTCAGTCAGTCAGCCAGTCAGTCCAGCCAGCCAGCCAGGCAGTCAGTCAGTCGCCGTGCCTTTCTGTGCCAGGTGGTTTGTTCAGCTCCCTTGCCACGAGCATCTTGGCCACATGTGAGCCAGAAAAAAAGGTGGATTGATGTAAAGTAGTATTGTGGGATCCTTCGTTCAGAATTCCACGCACCGCCGCAGCTATTTCTGATGTTTTCTGTCTTTGTGGAATGTGTTATTTAGTTGGGGAACGACCCTCCGGACGACATCCAAAACGACATTGGAACGACCTCCTTAACTACGTACATCATGTATTTGCTGCTGCTGCTCTTGCTCCTCTTGCTCCTCCTGCTCGTGCTGTTGCTCCTGCTCCTCCTGCTGCTCCTGCTCCTTCTGCTGCTCCCGCTCCTCCCGCTCCTCCTGCTGCTGCTGCTGCTGGTGCTGCTCCTGCTGCTGCTGCTGCTCCTTCTCCTGCTGCTCCTGCTGCTGCTGCTGCTACTGCTGCTGCTGCTGCTGCTCCTGCTGCTGCTCCTGCTGCTGCTGCTCACTTTCGAGGGACAGTATTTAGCCAGATTTCTCGGCGAAAAAAAGACCTCTGAACGACGTCCGCATTTCAGTCAGAATGACCACTACTACTGACTACTACTACTACTCCTGCTGCTGCTACTACAACAAGTACTACTACTACTGCTACTACTACTACTGCTACTACTAGTACTACTAGTACTACTACTACTACTATTACTACTACTACTACTATTTCTACTTCTACTTCTACTTCTACTTCTACTACTACTACTACTACTACCACTACTACCACTACTACCACGACTACCACTACTACTACTACTACTCCTACTACTACTACTACTACTAACTACCTACTACCTACTACCTACTACCTACTACCTACTACCTACTACCGACTACCGACTACCGACTACTACTCACTACTACTAACTACTACTAACTACTACTAACTACTTCTAACTTACTACTAACTACTACTAACTACTACTAACTACTACTACTAACTAGTAACTACTACTAACTACTACTAACTACTACTAACCTCTACTAACTACTACTAACTACTACTAACTACTACTACTAACTACTACTACTAACTACTACTACTAACTACTGCTACTACTAACTACTACTAACTACTACTACTACTACTACTTCTACTCCTACTCCTACTGCTACTGCTACTGCTACTGCTACTGCTACTGCTCCTCCTCCTACTCCTACCCCTACTCCTTTGTACTCCTGCTCCGACTGCTGCTACTGCTGCTACTGCTGTGTTTTTTGTTATTGGTAGTACTACTACTAGTACTACTACTACTCCTACTACTACTACTACTACTGCTGCTACCATGGTTGCCGCCATCACCACATATGAAGACCGCCGCTTGTAAATCATACGATTTGCTGTTGGGATCATGATTTTCGTGCCATGTTTTTTTCTACCTCATGTGACCGATCCTCCGACCGGTGCCGGCCGCTGGCGCTCACCCGCCGCCCCGGTCGTCCCGAGGCGGTGCCACGGGCGGTTTGTTGGCCTCCAGCGGGTCCCTGACGAGACCTCAGTGCAGTGGAGCGGTCAGTGGAGTCACTGACGCGCTCGGTGTGAAGTCGAAGGAGGGAGACAGACTCCGAGAAGGGGCAAATCCCACGACAGACTTTTCTTGAAGCCAGGGAGGGGTCAGGTTTCGGTGCCCTTTTCAAACACCCCAACGCCCACGTTGCTTCTTCAGAAACGGTCTGCGATTTCACGTGGTCGGACCGTGAGATTGGAAGATCTGCCGATCTGCCGTGAGGTTTGGCGATTTGAGCTCCAGTTCTGGCAGCGCTTTTGCTGGTGGCTCGCGAACCGCTTTGGCCTTTCGATTTGGAACTGGCAAGGACTCAAAAGTGTACCAAGATGATCCAAGATGTACCAAGATGTGCCACGTGCTCATTCATTGGAATCTTGCCATGAGATGCCACGGCGCGTTGTTGAAAAAAGGCCTGGGACATCCAGGCTGTAGGGAGATACTGATAAGGAGCTTCTGTCACGATAGACGGTGGACTTTCTCAGTACTTTCTGCGGGAAAGCCAACGTCTAAAGCGGGACCCCAAATAGCTAGAGGCACTCCCCAGAGCCACTGACACTGTTCCATCACTCGTCGACATGTTTTTTTTCCGATGGTTGGCGCATGTATCACTCCTGTGCTTCCTGAACATCACTTCCCGCCGTCACCGCGTCACCACGCCTCACCACGCCCTCACCGCGTCACCACGCCCTCACCGCCAGGCGCCGCCACGGGCGGTTTGTTCAGCGCCTCCAGCGGTTCCATGCGGAGACCTCAGCGGCGCCGCGGAGCGCTCCGCTCGGCTCCGACCGGTGCCGCGACGTCCCGCGTAACACTTCCGGCGGGACTTTCGGGCGAGACAACGGTGAGGTTTGGCGACTCGAGTTCCAGTTCGGGCAGCTTGTTCGGCGGCGGCTTGTTTGGGCAGCCAGCCTAGACCGCAAGACCGGTCGTGACTCTGCCATTCCTTCGGTGCAGTGGAGCAGTGGTGTTGAGGTCAAGCACCGGAGGCTCCTTGTTTGGCCAATCCACCCAGGCAGGATGTGTTTCATGTGTTTCATGTACAGTTGGCTTTTGGAATTTTGGAACGCCACCATGAACCCGTTGAAGCATTCAGCCATAAGAGTCGCAGTCTTTGACTTTCTTACACGCTCCGACCTCGCCCCATCGACATATCTTAACCTTGCATGTTCAACATGACTTCAAGTGCGCCTTTGAAGAATCCTGGCTGATCCTGTTGTCAGCCTCTGCGGAACCCATCTTCAACATCGTAAATAATCCTGCCATCTACGTAAAACCTCTGAGAGAGACATAATCCTCCTCGTTCTTGTGAGACTTTCCACCCAAGTCGCCACCCCTGCATGCGGTCTCTCGATCGAGATGTAGCTGATGCATTCACCCGCCTGAATTCTCCAGGCGGATGCCTCCAAAGAAGAGGCCGACGAACACGGACGTGACCGATGTAACTTCCGCTCCGGGGGGGAGAGTCCTGTCTTGAGTCTCCTGTCTGGTGACCCATCGAAGTACCGCTGGTGGTGGTGGCCACGTCGGCGTTCACGTCGGGTTCAGAAGCCGCCTTCTTGAGCGGTTTCAACCCGGCGCGGCCGCTCGGTGGCCGGAACCGCAAGGAGGCTGAGGAGCTGGTGCCCGAGGAGGAGGTCACCGTGGTTCCAGGCCGACGACGGCCGGAAGCGCGCGCCGCGCCGTCTGAGCATATGCGGACGATCGGACCCACCCGAGGCTGGGCGCCCACCGTCTCCTTGGAACTACAGGACGCGTGGGGCAGGGCGATGGCCGGCTGCGGGGCCAGGGAGACCTGGGGCAGTGGGACCGTCAGCCTTGCTGTGGGCAGAGCACGCCCCGGGGGCTTTCTGGTTTCCAGGAGGTGCCGACGGGCGAAGAAGAGGAGGAGGAGATTTACTCCCAGCGGTCCAAGCTGTGCGCCGCTGCTTGTTGCGGTGTCCGGTGTGAGGTTTGGGGTCCAGTTTGCTGTGGGGTGCCGAAACGAACCACGGAATGGATTTGTCATGGATTTCCGATCGATGGCGTAGCAGTTTCCCCAAGAGCTTGTTGATCGGAGGAGGGTGAATCTTTCAACAGCATTCTCTTTTCCAACAGGATGAATCTTTTCGGAGCAGGGAGTTTGATGGAGTTTGTTCTTGGCCGTGTTCTTGGCTTTGGCAGGTATCGCTTTAAAGATGGCGAATGGAAAGAGAGGGGGCTCGGCGACTCCAAGTTGCTCAGACACAGGGTGCGCGGGACCAAAGGTGGTAGGTAGGCAGTAGGCATGTTGAGATGTGTTCAACTTTTTGTTGTGGGGGATTCGTTACATGCCCGAAGCAACACTGTCAGGGAACTGGCAAAATTCGCTACATGATGCGACAAGAGAAGACTGGCAAGATTGTGCTTGCCTGAGCAACAATAGATTCAATGATTAACTCTGCAGTGTGAGGAGGCAGCTTTGGGATAGCATGTTTTTGCAACGCTCTTTCGCCGAGAGGTCGCAAACCACTACATCTATGCCTTCCCGCCCTACTGTGACCTGAAACCAAACCAAGGTAGCCCGAACCCCAAGCTACAAGCAGCACGTCTATGTACTTTTGTGACCCTTACAAGATTCTAGAGCGACTTGCTTCAAATTTAAGGCGACAAGTGCTGGGTTTGGACAACGATGGACTACTCTGAGGAATATGGCGGATGCACCGCAGAAAGCATGTTGATTGGAAAGCCTTTGTAGACACACTTGTGCAGGACGAAGCTCAGGTAGAGCAGTTTGCACTAAAGTTCAAGGAAGTAGAGCTGGCCCAGCAGTCAGATCCTTTGTCAGCGATGCACGGAAGCAAGTGAAAAAGTGTGCACCCAACGTGGTTTTGATTTGCCAAGCCTGCATTTATATTAGGTTCCAAGAAGTGTTCAACAACGCAAAGGAACACAATGCAAAGGCCCGGCTTCCCAGTTTTACCTTATTGCTTTGTCTTGTTTTGGCGACACTTTGTCAACAACTGCTGGTTGGTGAGCCAGGTATGTCAAGTGCAAGAAGTCACGGGAAGCGAGCCCAAACCTGCAAAAGAGCCAGTCCAGCCACAAGATTCAGTGAAGGGTCCAAGTTGGGAGAGAACTGGCAGATGCACAATAGCAAAGCTTCTGCAAACATCCTCTACCGAACGGTGTATGTCCCGAACCGAACGGGGTCTTTTTCGGTTCGGTCTCAGGCTCCGGACCTGCCGCTGCCTCGGTCACACCGACAACCGCGTGTGTCGGTTGGGCCGTTTCAGACATTGGCACCGGTAAACGAACACAGGTAAAACATGGTAAAACCTTGGACCCTTCGTTTTCTGCCAATCGCACAGATGGAACAGGTAAAAGGTTCGGTTCACCTTTGTATGGTTCGGGGATTGATCTGGGTCGGGAGTCAGGTCGCCGGATCGTTGATCTGAGGCGCCCTAGCTCAGCCAGCGGAGTTCTCAGATCTCAAGTATCCGCAGCTCCACTGATCTCGAGTGTGTCAAAAGACATATGAGCCAGAAAAAAAGGTGGATTGATGTAAAGTAGGATTGTGGGATCCTTCGTTCAGAATTCCACGCACCGCCGCAGCTATTTCTGATGTTATCTGTCTTTGTGGAATGTGTTATTTAGTTGGGGAACGACCCTCCAGACGACGTCCAAAACGACATTGGAACGACCTCCTTAACCACGTACATCATGTATTTGCTGCTGCTGCTCTTGCTCCTCTTGCTCCTCCTGCTCCTGCTGCTGTTGCTCCTGCTCCTCCTCCTGCTCCTTCTGCTGCTCCTGCTCCTCCTGCTGCTCCTGCTGCTGCTGGTGCTGCTGCTGGTGCTGCTGGTGGTGCTGCTCCTGCTGCTGCTGCTCCTTCTCCTGCTGCTCCTGCTGCTGCTGCTGCTGCTGCTGCTCACTTTCGATGGACAGTATTTAGCCGGATTTCTCGGCGAAAAAAACGACCCCTGAACGACCTCTGAACGACGTCCGCATTTCAGTCAATGACCACTACTACTGACTACTTCTACTTCTGCTACTACTCCTACTACTACTCCTACTCCTACTACTACTACTACTCCTCCTCCTCCTCCTGCTGCTGCTGCTGCTGCTGCGACTGCGACTGCGACTGCGACTGCGACTGCGACTGCTGCTACTACTACTACTACTACCACTACTACTACTACTACGACTACGACTACGACTACGACTACGACTACGACAACTACGACGACTACGACGACGACGACGACTACTACTAGTACTAGTACTAGTACTACTACTACTACTACTACCACCACCACTACTACTACTACTACTACCACCCCTACTCCTACTCCTACTCCTACTCCTGCTGCTGCTGCTGCTGCTCACTTTCGATGGACAGTATTTAGCCATATTTCTCGGCGAAAAACGACCTCTGAACGACCTATGAACGACCTCTGAAGACGTCCGCATTTCAGTCAGAATGGCCACTACTACTGACTACTACTACTACTACTACTACTACTAGTACTACTACTACTACTCCTGCTGCTCGTGCTGCTGCTGCTGCTGCTGCCACTGCTGCTACTACTACTACTACTAGTGCTGCTGCTGCTACTACTACTACTACTTCTTGTACTACTACTTCTACTACTACTACTACCACCACCGCTACTACTACTACTACTACTACTCTTCTTACTCTACTACTACTACTACTCTTCTTACTCTACTACTACTACTACTACTACTAGTACTGCTTCTACTACTACTACTACTACTACTACTAGTACTAGTACTAGTACTAGTACTATGCTTCTACTACTACTACTACTACTACTACTACTACTCTTCTTACTCTACTACTACTACTGCTACTACTACTACTACGACTACTACTACTACTACTAGTACTGCTTCTACTACTACTACTACTACCACCTGTTACCTTTTACCTACTACGTACTACCTACTACCTACTGCTACTACTACTACTCCTCCTCCTCCTACTCCTACCCCTACTCCTTTGTACTCCTACTCCGACTGCTGCTGCTGCTGCTGTGTTTTTTTTTGGTACTACTACTACTACTACTGCTACTAACTACTACCATGGTTGCCGCCATCACCACATATGAAGACCGCCGCTTGTAAATCATACGATTTGCTGTTGGGATCATGATTTTCGTACCATGTTTTTTTTCCACCTCATATGGCACTTGATGCTGGTGCTTGCACGCCCAGGCAGCACCGCACCAGCTGCATCCACAGGCACCTGCTGCCAGCTAGCATTGATGCAAACTTGTGAGTGGAGTGGTCTTTTAGCACTTGGAGGTGGCTTGTTTGGCTCAGCAACAGGCGCTGACATCTCATTATATTTTAGTTATATAGATGCCGCTACAGCCCTGATTAAAAGAGCCGTAAGATGCACTCACGTTTGGAAGTTTGATGACTGGGTCAAGCGTTTGTTGTAGAGGTGGCTCCTCTGGCGGGCTTTTTGGCGGCAGCTCTGGCGGGCTTTTTGGTGGCGGCTTGTTTGGGGGGCTCTGAACTCAGCATGAGAATCCATTTATGCGTGGTGCGGTCGAAGTTATGATCTGTTTTTTCAGGGCGAGCAGTGGTGGCGGCCTGTTTAGCGGTGGCAACCCTAGTTAAGGTCCAGTCTGACTTGTATTCACATTATGCTTCCCGCTTGGTGTCAGGTTTTGACAAGTTGCTGTTTGCTGGTCAAGTTCGCTATGCCTAGGCATTTCCTTTGGCGAGGCCAAGGCGCTTTGCACGAATTTCTTTGGGTAGCATGAAGCTGGGGTGGAGGCCATCGCTACTAGAGTGGAGGCCATCGCTACTAGTAACAAGAAACTGATTTTGCTAGAGTTGTTGCTCTTCGATGCGCGTTTGCACTCCCTCAGGCCGATTCGCCGCAGTCCGTGCTGCCCCCGAAACCTGAAGCGCGTTTCGTTCGTGCCGCGTTTCGTTCAATCGTTCGGGCGAGATGACGTGAAATAAGACGTCATGAATCGTAATGACATAGCTTCTTTAAGCTTGGGGTGCGTTCAGGATTGAGGAGGGATATCTCCCTGCAGTGTCTTGATCACACTCAAGCATCACACGGACAATATGAATCAAAACGATATGGTTTTGTGGAAGGCACTGTTTGCAAGTCAGCCAGTCACCTTTGTTCTTTCACCATTCATTCCGCCCAAACAGACACATCTCATGATGCAAAAGCCCTTACCGACTGGCGAACTTGGCCCATACCAAGAGTGAAAGAATGGAAGGATGCCCCCCCGCGCACTCCCCCAACCCGAGATGGTTTCAACAAAAACATGATTTTGGGCCAGGAGCATTCACCTTCTTGCGTGTCGCACCATGGTGCCGATGAAAAGAAAGCGATCGTTGCCGCCTCTGCGTGTGGCAGTCATCGGTGCATCCCGTGCAGGGCTGCCTTTAGCTTTGCTGTTGGCTGAGAGGGGGCACCATGTGGTCTTGGTTGAGACGGATGCAGAGGCTTTGGACACCCTCAAGAGTGGAAAGTATCCATTCTTGGAGCCTGGGGGCCCTGAGCTACTGCAGGCATGCATTGACAAGGAGTCACTTCAGATCTCTTCGAGGCTGTCGGTCATAGAGGGAAGCGACGTCATCCTGCTCACGTGCACGACGCCCATTGATACTCGCTTGATCCCTGACATGAGCCATGTGGATGCAGCAATTCGAGACCTCAAACCACACCTACGTGGAGGTGAGACGCTGGTCTTCCGCGCGACGGTCTTTCCGGGCACCAGTGAGAAAATCGAAGAAAGGCTCTCACAGCGTTCTGTCGGACCCCGAATTGGTGTGAGCTTTTGTCCGGAACGCCTGGCCATGGGGCACACGGTCAAGGAGCTCACGGAGGTGCCACAAATCATTTCCGGCTCCAGTCCGCAAGCTCTGTCACATGCCGCCCGCCTTTTCGATCCTTTGTCCGTGGACCTCGTCGAGTTGACGCTGTTAGAGGCAGAAGTGGCCACGCTCTTTCTGAATGCGTGGCGCTATGTAAGCTTTGGAACGGCCAATCAGTTCTTTCACATTGCCGCCTCCAAGGGCTTAGACTTCGACAAGATTCGCTCCGCCATTGTCTACCGCTATGAGAGGGCCTCCGGCTTCCCAAGGTCGGGCTTTACCGCCGGTCCGAGGCTCTATCAAGACATGATGCAATTGGCTGCCTACTGCAGACATACGTTCTCTTTGGGTCACGCAGCCATGTTGGTCAACGAGACGATGCCAGACTGCCTGGTGGAGCAAGCGCGGCAGAAGCTTCTGGAGCAAGGGACACGAGGCTTCAAGGGTTTGAAGTGTGGAATCCTTGGTGTCTCAGAAAGGTCAAGTCACAATTTGTTGAACTCTTTTCACATGCCACGTGTTTTGTTTAGGGGACTTCAAGTGCAATCATTTTTGTGCCCCGTGTATTTTTTCGCCTTCGGCCGTTCTTTGGGCAAACAGAGCCAGTTCATGTTTCAACTGACTTTCTCACCTCTGTTCAGGTGTATTGATATTATATACACTCATGACATGTTTCCGACGGCTTCATGTTTCGTTAACTCGGACAAAACCCCCCAACCCTGCCCTCCGCTCCTGGTCACCGGTCGGCTCGTCGCCCCGTCGCCCATCACCCGGGGCCCCCAGGTATGGCCTTCAAGCCCGACTCGGACGACTGTTCCGACTCCTTGGCCCTCAAGCTCCGCGACCTGCTGCTGCGCGAGGGCGCCGAGGTCCGGTGCGCGGACGCCTTCGTGCAGGAGCGAGAGGGGATGGAGCTGGTGAGCCAAAGTGCACTCTTGGAGAGTCCTGGCAGGAACAGCATGCCCGGAAACCACAGGAAACCAAAAGGTGACATATGTGACATGGACCATATGGCGACATGGACATCGCTGCGCCGTGCCGCGCCCTTTTTGGCTTCTCTGGCGGGGCTCCAGTTTCGGGGTGCAGTGCGGTGCAGTGCGGTGCAGTGCAGCAATAGTGGGAGATTGGTCCAACCTGGGATGTTGGATGTCGGACATGAAAGGGGCAATTAGTCTCTGAAAGTGGTCGATTGTTGCATGATCCAACATGATATAACTGGGTGGTGGTTATGCTGGTGTAGGGTCAATTTCAACCTTTACTTCGGATGATTGAGCCCACTGACATAGCGAGTTGAAACCATTAATTGACACCTTATTCTTTTGTATTGGCATCGCTGAGGAGCAGTGAAGCCATCTTCATTGGATGCCCACACTCGCAATACAGCAGCATTTCCTTTCGCCAAGCGGTGTTCGACTGCTGGGGCTTGGTGCGTGAACCCGACTTCACCCTCTTCCAGGCGACGTCCCTGGACTGCCGAGCGCTCCGGGTGGCGGTGGTGGGCGGCGCCGGCCACGTCGGCCTGCCGTTGTCACTGGTGCTGGCGGAGCGCGGCCACGAGGTGGTCGTCGTGGATGAGGACGCCCAGAAGCTGGCGGAGATCCAGGCAGGGCGCATCCCGTTCCTGGAAACGGGTGGCCCGGAGCTGCTGCAACGATGTTTGGAGTCCAAGGCCATCACATTCACCAGCCAGGTGAAGGAGGTCTCCAGCAGTGATGTGATCATTGTGACCATTGGCACGCCGGTGAATGAGCACTTAAATCCATGCTTTTCGGTGGTGCAGGCTTGTATGGATGAACTGACACCTCACTTGCATCCAGGACAGACTCTCTTGCTGAGATCCACGCTTTTTCCGGGGACCTCTTCCCGAGTTTTGGCCTCCCTGCCGGCTGGAGTGAACGTGAGCTTCTGCCCGGAGCGGATTGCGCAAGGCAAAGCTTTGGAAGAGCTCACGGATCTACCACAGATCATTTCCGGCTCCAACCAGCAGGCATTGGAGCATGCCAAGGCTCTTTTTGCTCCCTTCAAGGTGGATCTCATCCAATTGGAGCTGCAGGAAGCGGAAGTCGCCAAGCTCTTTTTGAATGCCTGGCGCTATGTGGCCTTTGGCACTGCCAACCAATTCTACCACATCGCCACCTCCAAAGGCTTGAACTTCGATCGCCTACGTGCGGCCATCGTGTACCGTTACCCGCGCGCCAGCGGCTTCCCGCGCTCCGGCTTCACCGCAGGACCGTGCTTGTTCAAGGACACCATGCAGCTGGCGGCCTACTGCCGCCACACCTTCTCGCTGGGCCACGCGGCGATGCTGGTGAACGAGACCATGCCTGACGCCTTAGTGGAACAAGCGAAGGCAGGCCGACCAGCGAGCGGGATGGCCCTGTCAGGAGTGCGTTGTGGGATCTTGGGGATGGCCTTTAAGGCGAACAATGATGACTGGAGGGAACCTCGGCATGGCGATGTTTACACCGGAGTCTGTGGGAGTGTGGGTCACTTGGGGTCCTGTTGGGTTTTTGGACGGCTTCCAAGACCAAGGCCTCGCCTCTGGGGTCCTTTTCTTCCAAAAATGCGAGCCGAGACCCGGTGCCGTTTCCACGTCCTGCCGCTGCAACCCCGCACGGGTTGAGACCTCCAGTTGGATCGGTCCACTTCACACCACGCTTGCGCTTGGGGGGAACCGAGTGACCCATCTCTGGAAGTCAGCGTTTCAGCGTGCGATTTTCGCCGTTTTTTCGAACTGCCCGAGGAATCCTTGGCCTTCAAGCTCCGTCGCCTGCTTTTATGGGAAGGTGCTCAGGTTTCATGCAGCGATGTGCACATGCATCGCGAGGAGTTCATTCCCTTGGACCAGCTCCTGGCGAGCAGCGAGGTGCTGTTTCTGGGCTGTCCCCATGAAGAGTACCGAGAGATTTCGATTCAACCGCATCAACGGCTTTACGACTGTTGGGGCTTCTTCGAAAGCCCCAAGCTCGCGATCCAGGGAGCTCGATCGGATCGATCGAGCTTGGAGGAGGAGTCGAGAAGAGGTGCGCGGTCGCCCATCCCGTCTTGCTGAGCCTGCCAAAGGCGAGGAATCGGTTCTGATCTGATCTGGTAGTGGGTTGTGTGGTGTTTTCGTTCTGAAAGGGGGGAGGTCTTCCATCACCAGAGTCCAAGGGGCTGGGACTGGCCCAAGGCATTTCTCTTAAAGCACCATCCGGTGCTGAAGAGCAGCGGGCTATTCTGAGGCAAGCCAACCAGCGGAGCCTTTCTCTGGCCTGTGGAGGGGCCCAGAGTGGAAACGGCGCTGCCAAACGGAGCGACCGGACGAAGCAAACGGAACTGTTTCGGAATGGGCTTTGACATGGCTTTGAAGACTGCTCTCAAAACCATGGAAGATATTTTTTAACAAAGAAAGAGAGCCTCATGGTAAAGAGAATCTCTCAAGACCATTTCATGAGAAGGAGAGCCGCAGCCTTTGGCGACAGAAGGTGTTTGCCATTGGGCTTGCCAACTCGGCTTCTTCAGCCAACTCGCTGCAGGTCCTTTGCCAGTGGCGGCCTGTGGGGACTCCCAAAGAGTTCTTGAATGACACGAAAACGACACAAAACGGCCGGAAGTGGCCCCAAAAGGCCGAACTCACCGCACCTTCCATCACCTTCCATCACTTTCCATCACTTTCCATTCCCCACATGTTTTTGGGTCGTGATCTCTTTCTAAAATTCGATCATCTTTCGAACGACGTCCAGGACGTCCATGTGTGTCATGTCCACTCCTTCGACCGCGGCGTGGTTCGTTCGACACGCGCCGCACGCGCCACTCACAGCGAGGCTGGGAGCCGGTGCCTCCACCGGTTCTGGGCTCTTTGGCGCTTGCGGGTGGTCTGCTGGAGGTACTCCTGGGTGGAGTTGGGCAGCCATATGCCATAAGCAGTCACAGGAGAAGTGCAGCCATAAGGTGGCCCCCGTTTTCCTGTTAAGAATTCTTTTTGAGATGTTGATGGTGTTTGTGGTGTTTGTGGTGTTTGTGGTGAAGCGATGTCCTAGAGTGCCCTGTTTGGGAGCCACATATGCCCAACGCCCAATGTGTCATGGTTGCTATAGTGTCAGCAGCTTGTTTCAATCATCTTTTGCTGTCTATCTTCTCTCAGATGCGGAAAAGGACACGCGGAACTTTTTGACACATCCTCTGTTTGGTGCCGTGAGTGCCGCCGCTTGGCTAACAGAACACGTTTGTGTCATTTCCTCAGGATCCCAACCTTCTCCAGCCGTTGAGCTTCACATAGGGTTCGCACAATCTCATATTGCAGGTCAGCTGTGGCCCTTTGACCATAGACACATCTCAGAACACGTGAGAAGCATCTCCATGCAGCGCGCCGATGCGGCCTCATGGCGGCATGTGCTGGGGGCTTGCCACAAGCTGAGCCGGTGTATCTTCCACAGGATTGTTGTGGTGAGGAGCCGCCCTGTGAACTCCCGGCTTGGTGTTCAGCTCCGGATGCCACCTTAACCGATGGGTCTGTAGAGCTCTGGCGAAGACCGACGACCAGAGCACCTGAACTGATCATGGTGGGCTGTCGCCCATGGGTTCACTTTGGGCGCAGGCTGCAGTGTCAGAAGGGCCGCCAGCCAGATGTGGAGTTGCACACGCGCACAGCCTCCAGGAAACAAGCGCTCCTCTTGCGGAATTGGCACGGACAAGTCTTTCTCATGGATCTAGGCTCCTCCCATGGCACCTACCTGGGACACCAAAAGCTCATCGCCCATCGTCCCAAGGAATGGAGGCCGGGCATGTTGGTCTTCTTCGCGGACCGCCAGACCGAGAGCTTCGAGCTGAAGCGCCGCACGGACGGAGCTGCGTTCCCCGCGGCGTTCCCCGCGTTCCCCGCGTTTCCGAGTCGCGACCGTGCGGCGCGGAGTGTCGGCATCTCCGGGCTCACGAGCATGGCGGTGAAGCAATTTGCCGGCGCACGGCGGATGATGGGCATTCAACTTGGAGAGGAGATCACTGTTAGACCCAAGCAGGTGCAAGAGGTGGAAGAGATTGTAGAGCAGGGGCCTGAGGTGGGGCCTGAAGCTGAAGAGGTGAGGGAAGTCTTGTATCCAGGAGATTGGCAGGTGCCAGCTGATGGGTTGTCGAAGATTGGCTGGAAGCCGGAGGTTGCCAAAGACACTGCAGAGGTGTTGGTTTCCGGTCCAGTTGTGGAGGAAGTTTGCGAAGTTCCAGTGAAGCAGCCAGAAGTGACAGAAGCACCAGTGCCGAGTGGTCGACGCTTGGCCGAACGTTTACAGCAAGCCATGACCCAACGCTTCGGCCCTGACGTCACGAAGAACCTCAAGGCAAAGGGTCCTCGATATCCTTGCCCGGAGCAGCTCGGTTTTCAGCTCGACCTCGCCAGCGGCCGCACGGCGCCGTACGATCCCAGGGCTCCGGCGCTCGTGCTGCTCCGGGCGTCTGTGAGGCCGGCGGCCGGGCTCACGCGGCACATCGGCTTGGAGTGGCTGAGCGCCAATGTGCCCAGCGAAGTGGAGCTCCTCGTCCGGTTCAGTACCGTGCCCTGGAGGAGGTGAACAGCGAGGCAGAGGTTCAAGGGTGGCAATTGGATCTGCCACTGGTGGATGTGGCACAGCTGGATGGGGAGCGACACCAGAAAGGCACGGTGAGTCTCAGTAGTTTCCAGCCTGGAATGCCCCAAAAGCTCTTTGTCCATCTGGGGGCGTGTGGAAACGACGGGGCGCTGGCTGTTTTTGGGTCGACCTTGAGGCTTCTGGATGTGGATGGCGATGAGTGGGCTTTGGATTCTGATTCCAGGCGTCCACAGCAGGCCGCGGAATCGGCCCCATTGATCCCGAAGACGAAGAACGGACCTGCAGCAGCGGCTGCGGCAGCTCCGGCCGCTCCAGCGAGCGCTCCAGCGGCTGCGGCAGCTCCAGTCGCTCGAAGAAGGACAGAACGGGCAGAGGCAGAGAGTGCCAGCGAAGAAAGCAGTCTCCGAAGTAGTTCGGTGAGTCATGCCAGCACTGAGCTGGTGTCAGATGAGGAACCCGTCCAAACCAAGAAGCCAAAAGAGAATGCCGCCAGCCGGAAGGTTGAGATGCCGTCCAAACAGATGGTGGCCCCTGTCCGTGAAGCAGCTAAGGTGAAAAAGGACCAGCCCCAATCGAAAACCACCAAACCCGTGCCGGCCACGCGACAGGTGGAGACGCCAGTTGCCACCAAGAACATCACAGTCACCAAATCGAAGCAGAACGAAACTAGACAAACTAGACCAGACTCCCAGCCACCTCGTGGTTCCAAGGCTGCTTTGAAGCAGGCCGTCCAGCCACGCGTGCCACGAGCCGTCCAGCCCGGCTGTGCGGTCAAGCACCTCAGGTCCCCGAGCTTGTGCGGACGGAGTCGAACGAAGAGACCGCGCAAGAGGTCCCCGAAGTCATCCTCCCCCTCCCGTCGCTCTCGTAGCGATGAGGCAGAGGAGGATCTGGAAGAAGAGCTCATGAAACTGTCAGCCTTGAAACTCGTGGCTCGCCTCAAGGCAGACATTGTGGCTCGCCGCTGGGCCAGCGCGCCGGACTTCAAGAACGGACGCTTGCGGGCGGCATATTCCAAGGCTTTGGAGCTGTTGTGCGATGACAAGGGTGGCCCAGTGTAGCTCTTGGAGAAAGGGTTGACAAACTGTTGCCTCACGTGGGTGGCTACACATCCAGCCGGTAGATGACCATGTCCGAGAAAACCTGGTTCCGTCTCAGTGGTGCAGCTGGTTCCGTCTCGAAGAAGGACCAACCAAGGTTCCACCGCACCGATGGCTCCGACGGACGACGGAGCTGGAGGACTCGACCCGTGGACCAACCATCGATGCCGTCCGCGGACCTCGCACCGGGCGGCCGGAGATGTGCGCCAGAAGTGCGGAGACTCGTGCACTCGAGAGTGAGGAAACGTGAGGAAAAGGAAGGACGCAGCCCGTGAGAATTGTTGTGGAACTCATGGGGCGACTTATGCGGCTTTCATCCATTTTGCCCAAGAGTTGCCAGGCATTTTGGGTGGGTCGTCCGGTAGCCTGTGCCATCCTAAGCTGTAGAGCCACGCATGACCATTCCTTGGGCCCACTGTGCATGGCCATTCCAACCAGAGAGCCGAAAGGATTCTTTTTAAGGCCGGCCGGTGGTGCCACAGGCGGATTGTGCGATGCTTAGAGACTGGCAATTGGACGTATATAATTATGTCAGTTTTGGGCATTTTTGCATAAACCGAACACAAGTCAACCTGGAACTTGTACAGAACTCCTACACTCCAGCATTATTGAAACACTTGTACTTCCGATCCCTTCCAGGATTCCAGTGTTTCTAAGGTGGGGTGCGACGACGACCTCAACCGCCAATGGGGCACAGGCCCCTTCGGGACCCCTTCGGGACGTCGGCGGATTCGCTTCTCATTCGCACCCAGCATGGATGCAGGAGGATGACTATGTACCCGAAGAAGAGGACCGGCACTCAGATAGCCATGAGGGAACTGACTAAGCAGGCGGAAGGAATGGAGCGGCGGAGCGGGCACCACAGTGTCCTGTGTTCGGCAGAGAGGTGGAAGCACGGTAGGGCCCGAACTGTCCAAAAGGCCAGGCCAAAGAAACGCAGCACAGGCACGGCAGTACCCTGCATCTCTGTATATACTGCATTGGATTTGGGGAAAGAGATGCATCTCTGTAGATAGACGTACACGTTATCCGGAATTCTCAGCATTCCCTCGCCTTGGAGCCTAGGTCACTCAAATTCCTGGATGGGCACCCTCAGTGTCTTTGGAGGTCAGGGATTACGTTGAGACCGGCGAGGAGTGCGAAGAGGACTGGCAAGACACCATGCTTGGTTAAGAGCCAGCCTGCTACAGAGCCCACTAAACGGTTCCAGAACTTCATCATTATATGCACAGTCTCCCAATCATGGTTTGGTGGACAACCTTTTTCTAGCCCCAGGATTCCAACAACCATTTTATTGTGATGGCCTTTGCCAAAGAGCCCTTGTTTTACAGTCTTTTTACCAAGGAGGTACTACAAAACAAAAACAGGTCCACCAGTTTCTAAATTGTCTTGGAAGGTTGGTTTATGCAACATTCTTGGATTTGAAACTCTTTCCAGACGTGTCGGGAAGACCTTTCTGCCGCCGACACTTTGAAGCCAGGAACTCTACAGCCAAAGGTCCAAGCTCTTGCGCTTTATAGATGGTGAATGGAAAGAGCGTGGAACCGGTGATGCCAAGATCCTGAGGCAGGTGAATCTTGCAAATTTCATGTGAAGAAAGATCAGCAAGTGGACCACCCGCGGACACAAGCAATGGTGTTCGGGTGGCTCAAGATGGCGTTTCAGGCGTCCCTTTAGATCCGTTCCCAGGACTTTGGGCCGGGTTGAGGCTGCTTGTGCCAGGCATGTTGACACTGGCAGATGCCGCTTCTTGATGAGGCAGGAGAAGTGGTGGGCCCAGCTCTCTCAGCAGTGCTGGACTGTTGGTGGCAGCGTTGCGTCAACGCCAAGGACCTCCAAGATCGTGGCAAATCACTACATCATCGACCAGAAGCCATACTGCGTGGGCGACCCCAGCCCTTTCAACCATTCGGCTTTTGTTCATGTTTTGACCACAGCCATGGATTTCGAAAGGGGTCCCATGTGTCAACCCTCATGGGGGGTGAACGCGTTTCTTTCCGAGTTGGGCGCCCATCCCGGGTGGACGGCAAGAGCTTATGGCATATTGACACATGCGTGTGTGTGGTTTGGGAGATGCTCCTGGCCCAATGGTTTGGTCTAAAGGTCTGGGAGGTCTCCCGAGCGGTCTAAAGGCCAGGGCTGAAATGGGACGAAACGGGAGCTTTCGAGCGAAACGGGCTGCAGGAAGCCCATGGAGGATGTGAAAGGCAGAGCCCCCTTGGTAGCCTTCACTGAAGGAAACGCCGTGAAGGATAAAAGCCAGCTTGCAGGGTTGGATGGAAGAGGAGGCTGGAGCCCACTGAGCGTAGCTGTTTTTTTTGAGTATTCAGTCGGCGTCACTGGCGAACGCGTTGTCGACGGAGGGATGTCATGAAGGTCCCGAACGAGGATGTTTTCCTCGTCACCCAGTGTGCCGCCCAGGCTTCTGATATCAGGAGTCGCAAAGGGGTGGTGTTTAGTCCCATCCAGTGAGTGGATCATGGGCACCCCTATCCTCAGGCACCCCTTTGTGACTCCTGATATCTCTGTCTCGCATCTCCAAGACTTGAAGTGCCCTCGGCCACGTGCCGGACGTCGGCACGCATTCTTGCGCACGCAGAGAGCGTGCGACGGGCGTGCTTCACAATGAGCGTCTCACTGACGAGTGCTGGGACACTCTGTGCGTTCGGCAAACAGGCCACACTTCCACCAGTTTTAGTTAAAGTTATAAAAAACTTTCATTGGAAAGAACATGTTTTCAAAATTTTTAAAAAAGGCAAAACAAGTCACATTGAAAAGTCAAAAAAAAGTCCAAAAAAGTCAACAGTCAACAAAAAGTCACAAAAAAAGTCAAACAAAAACTTTGCATAGGTAAACAAGTCAAGGAAAAGCTTGTAACAAGGCAAATTGCAGCCTTTTTGCTTATGGCTTATGGCTTTCAGTCTATTAAAAATTCTAGAGCCTTTTTGGGTTGTTCAACTTTCACCTTTTCCAGCCCCAAGCCAGCCCCAACCCCCTACCCCAGAGTCGCAGGATCCCTACCCAGCCCCAGCCACTGTCCCAGGGTCTCTTCAGCCCCAAGGCAGCTGCTGCTCAAATTTTGGGGCAGGTTGCTGCCAGGGCCAGGCTTTGGGCTGGCTGCGGCTGGCTCCTGGCAGAGGGGTCAGGTTGAGGTCGAGCTCAGGCAGGCTACAGGCGGGCTGGGGCATGCGGGGCTGGGCCGGCAAAAAAAAGTCAAAAAAAAGTCAAAAAAAAGTCAAATGTGCGGATCCTAGCCTTGGTGGATTACTGGAGGCAACAAAAAGTCAAAAAAAAGTCAAAAGTTGAAAAAGTCAAAAAAAGTCAAAAAAAAAGTCAACAAAAAGTCAAAAAAAGACAAAAAAAGCCAAATGTGAAAACCAAGCGCGGATCCTAGCCTTGGCGGATTACTGGAGGCAACAAAAAGTCAAAAAAAAGTCGAAAACACGTCAATTCTGCTCGCGACTCTGGGGCCGGACAGGGCTGGGTACTT